GATCACAGTGTTCTTTCTGTTGTACCTGCGTGTAGCAAATAAAACACACTACACGCTCAGCGGTAAAGCTGAGTAAGCATATCTAATGCGTCGAACATCCATATAAACTGAATCTAAATTCATAATCAAATCATTTGATATCATGCACACAATGTTCATTTAAGACATTCACAGTTTTGGTATTGTTCAGTTCATATCAACACATTTTATTCAATTCAGATACTATTTCAATAGTGCTCTTAAGATATTCTTAATCTAAGGCCAGATCATAACAACGCTCTTAGCTAGTCTTAGTCTAAGGCCAGATCATAATAATGCTCTTAGCTATTCTTAGTCTAAGGCCAAATCATAATTTCCATAATCACATTCTTAAAATGCAATTATTAATCAGACACTTAAACTATCATTAGTTTAAGGCAATTGATTTCGGACACTTAACTGTAGTCAGTTAAGGCAATCAGACACTTAAACTATCATTAGTTTAAGGCAAATGATTTCGGACACTTAACTGTAGTCAGTTAAGGCAACAACAATATAGCGATTGGTCAACAATGAATCGGGCATTCCCAACGAGTAATCCTCTAGTTTGGTCTACGAATCCCGTTTATGAATTTATATCTAATTCATAAACTATTCATATTTTCATAAGTTCATTCTAAGATCTATTCTAGAGGTCTTCTAGATAGTCTTAACATTAATTAGCTAATAGGTATATCTGTAACACCCTAATCCGTCCAGGTCTGCAGCCCCATTCGGACTAAAGTATTTAACTTGGTAATCGTAAAAATTTAAAACTTTTCAAACACACTTTATTAATCCCAATAATATTTTTCAATACATATACAATACGGAGTATTGCGTTTTGTGAATGCATGTTGAATGTATGTTGAACGCTAGTAATGGACATGTGCGCGGCCATGTCGATAGGTGAGATCGAAATTATAAATCCCTCACGAATATTAAGTCTGTTGCCTTCGGACGCTCGGCACCTATCTGGCTAATGTGCACTGTCATGTACTCAGCCTCAGCAGAGCATAGTACGGTGTATGTTAAGCTGGTTACGGGAACCGCCATAGCGTGGTCGCTGTCGCACGTTGGGTTAGACTTAACTGAGTCTCGGTCAAATGGATGGACGACTTAGAGGCAGTAAGTTGGGGTCATCAATGACAAGTCAGATGATTTTACTCACTCATCCAGCCAGGAGTTGGATCTTTATGATTTAATTGGAACTCTGTTCCTAACCAAAGTAGTCTGCTTGTAAGACGTGCCTCAGCCAATTACAAGTACGGTGAAAAGGTGTGCTGGTCCGATTGTAGTAATGTTGTTCGCCGAACACCAGACCAAGAGCTGAGAGCCCGGCTCATCAGTTGGAACTATGTTCCTACCTAAATAGTTGTCTTGTAGAGTAACGCCCAAGCGGAACGCAAGATAATGAAATATGGATCTTGGCCCACTAGAGGTTTCGCCGGAAATCTCCGAATCAATATCGAGGGTTATTGATTTGTTAAAAATAGTGGGATATAATTAATTAAAGGCCTAATGAATTATTAAACATGATAGATAACCTATTTTGCAAAATTTTTGTAGATGGCAAACAACAACAACCCTTTCAACCTGCGATATGTTCTAGAAAAGGAAAAATTATCTGGAACTAACTTTCTTGATTGGGAGATGAATCTTAAGATTGTTCTCGAATGCGAGAAAAAGCTCTACGTCCTAACATCTGAGCCTCCCAAAGCTCCTGAAGCAAATGTCTGTGCTGCAGAAATTACTTCGTACAAGAAGTATGAGGACGACGCGCGAGATGTAAAGTGTATCATTATGGCCAGTATGACCGCGGAGCTCCAAAGGCTCCACGCGGACATGGAAGTGCGTCCTATGATACAATGCTTAAGAGACCTTTACCAGGGTCAGCCCCAAAACTCAGGAATTTACGTTATCGAAGTCAATATGTCTGATATCCCCTCTTGGGTGATGGATACTGGATGTGGTTCTCACATCTGTACTTCTATGCAGAACTTGCATGAATGTAGACAATTGACGGAGGGAGAGATACAACTAAAAGTCGGCAATGGCGCACTCGTCTATGCATTGGCCGTCGGAACCTATAGTTTATCTCTACCTAGTGGTCTTATATTGCATTTGAATAATTGTCTGTTTGTACCTAGTATGAGCAGAAACATCATTTCTGTATCCTGCCTTGACAAAGCAGGATTTTCGTTCGTTGTAAAAGACAAAACTCTTTCTGTCTTTAGAAATGATATATTTTATGCAAGTGCAAAAATGAC